ACACCATTGTTGTAACTATATAGAATGTTTGAAGGAATCTTTCTGGCAAGATGGAGCGCCTGTGGACTCCACAGAAAAATGTGCTTTATATAGGGCGTGGGAAGGAATCCTTACTGAAAAAGGAGTGCCTACTGCTTTACGAGTCCTCCCGAGACCTCCCGCATCATCCTAACTCCCCCCATCTGCGTCCACAAGGCTCCCTCAGAGTTGGCGGTCCGCGAGCCAAGCGGACTGATCCAATGAACCATTTTGCGGTGCAGACCGAGATGCGCACATGCGCTGCAGCGCAGACCCGCACGACGGCGGGAAGGGTGAGGGATTGCACCGAGCGCTCAATTGAGCGCAGGGGGGAAGAGGAGGGGGGAGGGGGCGGGGCTCCTCCTTCCTACCAGGGGGCCGCGCCTTGGCCTTGGCGTTGAAGGGCTTGGCTCAGGCACTCGCACCTGGGATGAGGCCCTGCTCCAGCCTCCTGAGGTTCTTGACCCGCTTCTTCGAGGCGGGTCGACAGGGCCGGGCCAACATGAGAATAGAGCGGTCCATGCCCAGGGCGCCGCACGACGTGCATGCACGCCCAACAGTCAGCGTGCTCGAAAAGCCGTGCGGAATGGGTGGGGTTGACGATATGGCTCCCTATCTGGAGCGGGGCAGGGCGGGAGGAGGAGGGAGCAGCAGCAGCATCGATCGCAACGCATTCGGTCGACAACGACTCGATCACCCCCTCCTAGGAGGGCTTCTGGTGACAGAAGCTGCAGCTGAACCGAGACGCCAGAAACTGGAGGCCGTCTTTATGTGGGGACCCCTGGACCGCCTTCTCGGGAGAAGTCAAGCCAACTTTTCGAACGCCTGCGAGCGGCCTAGGCCTCTCTCTCTGTCCGCGGCTGTCATGAGCAGCGGAGGCACTGAGGGTCGCAGCTAATCGGGTCCTGACTTGCTCGGCGAGAGTGTCAATTGCCAGCACACTGGACACCGTCTGGGTCGACTTGACACCGTCCCGCCTCCCACTCGGCAATCCTGTCAGCCTCAATGTTGGCTAGACGGTACTGCTCTGGGAGGCCACTGGCACGTAAGCGCTCCGCTTCCACGTGGCTCTCTACTTTAATTCGGTTCGACTGGCCAGGTCTAGAACTCATCACCTTTGCCAAAGAACACCACACATCCTGATTCGACGTAGGCTGGTTGCCAGCGCACGCAACTAGCCTCGGGCAACGTAGCTGGAGTCGCACAAATAGGTGAAGTCCCCTGGGAGCTGCTGCAAACAATCCAGGAAAGCCCAAAGCTCGGCTCTGTTACTGGTCTGCCTGCGTCCAGCAAGGGCGGCACTCCTACGGCGCAAAACTCCCGCATCCACTCTCATCGTATTGAGCTCGACCCACGCCCAGGCACAACGCCTCAGCCTTGGGTGATTAGCATTCGCACCACCAGACCCGTCCACCGCGACAAGGCGATCCGTGATATCAGCTGGGGGCTGCACACCTACGGGAGCCGCGTCACCCTCAGCTTCATTAGATGGGTAGCTCACGCCGTGCAGCTCAGCTGCATCGGGGGGGTCAGGGGTGGACACGAGGGTGGACCGGATAATGCCTCGGAGCCAAAAACAAACAATTGAATTCTGATGGAGGGCAGCCTCAGCTGCCTCTACCACCTCTTGCATGTCTTGCCACTCTGGGATGTCAGCATTGCAGGGGGCACTGCCAAACGCGGTGGCGAAGCGTTTCTGGGGCAAGGTGACATCCAGGACAGGTGGGGTCAACATCTCCTACGATATCCTCGGCGATACGGGGGGGGAAGGGTGAGGGAGGAAGAGGAGGAGGAGAAGGAGGAGGAGGAGGAGGAGGAGGAGGAGGAGGAGGAGGAGGAGAAGGAGGCAGGGGAAGATGAAGATGGAAGAGGACACCCGCTAAACCACCTCCGCCCAGAGGGCTAGAGAGACTCACGCCTGGCTTTGGGACGGCTGTTCTGGTGCATCGCCCCCCCTCCCCAACCGAGCCAGATTTGTCGACTTCGGTCACGGTAGCGACCACGCGGACTCTGTTTGAATTGTGTTCATCCGCTTTGGCGATTGTCGGCGATTGTGTGTGTGATTGTGTGTGTTGTATAATTCCCCCACCCCTAAAGACAACCGCGAAATCGTGTCGCAGCTGATGATTTCGATGCAGCAGCGTCTTCCTCAAGTGTTCTCCTCTTTGTCCCCCCTCTCCCCTGCTGCTGTTCTTCATCCTCCCCGCGCATGCTGCTTCCGCCCCGCCTTCCCATCGTAACCACTCACCGAGGAGATGGCCATCTGAGCCGCGCAGAGATGCAGTACGGGCTGAGGACCTGCTGAGCGTCCTCTTCCTCTTTCCTGTTTCCCCTCCGAGCTCCTCTCTCCCTTCCTCCCCCCCTTCCTGTCCTCTACCTCCCCCTCCTCGCCTCGCTATCCCCGTGCTTTTGCCCCGAATCCGGTTCTCCCCTTGGGTTCTCGCGGTGCCTCCACTCCTCGAGGCCCGTTTCCATTTCCCAGGAAGGACGATGAGGGGTAGCTGCGTGAGGTGGATGTGGAGGAGGAGGAGAAGACGGATGACCTGTGTAAACCCGCGGCCCATCAATGATGTTGCAATAACACCTCCCCCCAAGTTTCCTCTTCGCTGAGGAAAGTGCCCCGTTGGAAGAAACCGTCAAAACATCCTGCACCATGGCAAAACACCATACCTGGGATTTCAACGCCGCGAATGAACGTTTATTGTTGCGTCCTGGCAATCCTGAATCGTGCCAGCAACCACACCTGGGATTTCAACACTGCGACTCAACGTGACTGTTGCGCCCTACCAGTCCGACATCACGTCAAGAAACCGTTTCTGGTACGTCATCCATAACATGCGTTTGACAGTATATACATTCGTGGTACAAATGTGCGCGGCGCGAATGGGCGAGAGCCACATGTTGAAGAGCAGCCGCCCCCCCATCTGTGAAATTCTTGCAAGCTTTGAGGGCGAATGTGCGCTATGCTGAGGCGACTGTCACGTTTTGAAGACCGCCCGCACTCCATCCGTGAAACGCTAAGCAGAGAGCCACATTTCGAAAACGGCCCGCCCTCTGCTCCACCCATGAAACGTGTGCAAACTTTAAGACGAGTGTGCGCGGCGATAAGGCGAGAACCACATTTTGAAAACAACCCGCCCTCCAATCCTGAAACTGTTGAGCACTTTAAACGTAAGGGTCACAACTGATGAGGAAGTCTCAGGCGAATCGCCAAGCACTTCTTACCGACACGTTTCGAGGTACGAGATGGAGAAGTCATTTAGAAGGACAAGGGATTGACGATGAGGAGGAGGAGGAGGAGGAGGAGGAGGAAGAAGAGGATGATGATGATGATGAGGAAGAGGAGGAGCAGAAAGACACTGGTGTCCGCTGTTCGGCCGGCTCGGCTGCTTCGCAGTCGGCTTCATTCGGTCGGTTCGGTTCGGTTGGTTGCTGCGCTGCTGCGTCCTTCTAGCTGCCTTCGGTCTGTTGGTGTTCGGTTTCGCTGTCGTTTCGGTCAATTTTCGGTGCAATTGCCACCGTGCACCAATGGAAGATGAGGCGCCCGACAACGGCCAGCGCGCGGCTCTCTTGGCACCTTGGCCGCACTACGGGTGGAAGGCGCGGAAGAGGGTAGAAGAAGAGGAGGGTAAGGCTGAGGTACAGGCAATGGAACAGCAATGGGAGGAGGGAGGAGGAGGAGGAGGAGGAGGAGGAGGAGGAGGAGGAGGAGGAGGAGGAGGAGGAGGAGGAGGAGGAGGA